TATATCATTCTACTCAGAATTAAATTTCCTATCCAATTATGCTTAGATGTATTTTTTTACGTTTCCGGTTCAAAAAATAACATTTTTGTCGCGAAAACGGTCGAAGGGAAAAGGCTAACATCTTAAGTTTAATTTTATAAATTTTTATATCATTGAACTCAGAATTAAATTTCCTATCTAAATATGCTTTGATGTAATTTTTTACGTTATCGGTTCAAAAAATAAATTTTAATAATTTTTTTGTGGTAAAAATGTTGGAAGGGAAAAGGCTAACATCTTATATGCAATTTTGAATATTTTTATATCATTCTACTCAGAATTAAATTTCCTATCCAATTATGCTTAGATGTATTTTTTTACGTTTCCGGTTCAAAAAATAACATTTTTGTCGCGAAAACGTTCGAAGGGAAAAGGCTAACATCTTTGGTTTAATTTTATAAATTTTTATATCATTGAACTCAGAATTAAATTTCCTATCTAAATATGCTTTGATGTGATTTTTTAAGTTATCGGTTCAAAAAATAAATTTTAAAAATTTTTTTGTGGTAAAAACGTTGGAAGGGAAAAGGCTACATAACATCTTATATGCAATTTTGAATATTTTATATCATTCTACTCAGAATTAAATTTCCTATCCAATTATGCTTAGATGTATTTTTTTACGTTTCCGGTTCAAAAAATAATATTTTTGTCGCGAAAATGTTCGAAGGGAAAAGGCTAACATCTTAAATTTAATTTTTAAAATTTATTTTTTGAACCAATAACGTAAAAAATTACATCAAAGCATATTTAGATAGGAAATTTAATTCTGGGTTCAATGATATAAAAATTTATAAAATTAAACTTAAGATGTTAGCCTTTTCCCTTCGAACGTTTTCGCGACTAAATTGTTATTTTTTGAACAATACATCTAAGCATAATTTGATAGGAAATTTAATTCTGAGTAGAATGATATAAAAATATTTAAAATTGCATATAAGATGTTAGCCTTTTCCCTTCCAACGTTTTTACCACAAAAAAATTTTTTAAATTTATATTTTGAACCGATAACGTAAAAAGTTACATCAAAGCATATTTAGATAGGAAATTTAATTCTGAGTTCAATGATATAAAAATTTATAAAATTAAACTAAAGATGTTAGCCTTTTCTATTCGAACGTTTTCGCGACAAAAATGTTATTTTTTGAACCGGAAACGTAAAAAAATACATCTAAGCATAATTGGATAGGAAATTTAATTCTGAGTAGAATGATATAAAAATATTCAAAATTGCATATAAGATGTTAGCCTTTTCCTTCCAACGTTTTTACCACAAAAAATTTTTTTATTTATTTTTTGAACGGATAACGTAAAAAATGCATCAAAGCATATTTAGATAGGAAATTTAATTCTGAGTTCAATGATATAAAAATTTATAAAATTAAACTAAAGATGTTAGCCTTTTCCCTTCGAACGTTTTCGCGACAAAAATGTTATTTTTGAACCGGAAACGTAAAAAATACATTTAAGCATAATTGGATAGGAAATTTAATTCTGAGTAGAATGATATAAAAATATTCAAAATTGCATATAAGATGTTAGCCTTTTCCCTTCCAACGTTTTTACCACAAAAAAATTTTTTTAATTTATTTTTTGAACCTATAACTTAAAAATCACATCAAAGCATATTTAGATAGGAAATTTAATTCTGAGTTCAATGATATAAAAATTTATAAAATTAAACTAAAGATGTTAGCCTTTTCCCTTCAAACGTTTTCGCGACAAAAATGTTATTTTTTGAACCGGAAACGTAAAAAAATACATCTAAGCATAATTGGATAGGAAATTTAATTCTGAGTAGAATGATATAAAAATATTCAAAATTGCATATAAGATGTTAGCCTTTTCCCTTCCAACGTTTTTACCACAAAAAAATTTTTAAAATTTATTTTTTGAACCTATAACGTAAAAAATTACATCAAAGCATATTTAGATAGGAAATTTAATTCTGAGTTCAATGATATAAAAATTTATAAAATTAAACTTAAGATGTTAGCCTTTTCCCTTCGACCGTTTTCGCGACAAAAATGTTATTTTTTGAACCGGAAACGTAAAAAAATACATCTAAGCATAATTGGATAGGAAATTTAATTCTGAGTAGAATGATATAAAAATATTCAAAATTGCATATAAGATGTTAGCCTTTTCCCTTCCAACGTTTTTACCACAAAAAAATTATTAAAATTTATTTTTTGAACCGATAACGTAAAAAATAACATCAAAGCATATTTAGATAGGAAATTTAATTCTGAGTTCAATGATATAAAAATATTCAAAATTGCATATAAGATGTTAGCCTTTTGCCTTCCAATGTTTTTACCACAAAAAAATTTTTTTAATTTATTTTTTGAACCGATAACGTAAAAAATTACATCAAAGCATATTTAGATAGGAAATTTAATTCTGAGTTCAATGATATAAAAATTTATAAAATTAAACTTAAGATGTTAGCCTTTTCCCTTTGAACGTTTTCGCGACAAAAATGTTATTTTTTGAACCGAAAACGTAAAAAAATACATCTAAACATAATTGGATAGGAAATTTAATTCTGAGTAGAATGATATAAAAATATTCAAAATTGCATATAAGATGTTAGCCTTTTCCCTTCCAACGTTTTTACCACAAAAAAATTTTTAAAATATATATTTTGAACCTATAACTTAAAAAATCACATCAAAGCATATTTAGATAGGAAATTTAATTCTGAGTTCAATGATATAAAAATTTATAAAATTAAACAAAAGATGTTAGCCTTTTCCCTTCGAACGTTTTCGCGACAAAAATGTTATTTTTTGAACCGGAAACGTAAAAAAATACATCTAAGCATAATTGGATAGGAAATTTAATTCTGAGTAGAATGATATAAAAATATTCAAAATTGCATATAAGATGTTAGCCTTTTCCCTAATCCAGTACTCACAATATCGTTATACTTACTATCAATTTAGTTTTGAAAAAAAACTTAAATAGAATATACATATAATTTTAAAAATTCCATTATTTTAAAATAACCAAATATAATTTAATTAAAAATAGAAATTAAAAATTAATGAAATTAAATAAAATTATAATCGCAATTTATTTCAAAGAATTAATAAAATAATTGAAATATTATAATCCATTTTTTTAAAATAACCAAATATAATTTAATTAAAAATAAAAATTAAATAAAAATAAAAATAAAACCGCAATTATTTCAAAGAATTAATAAAAAAATTGAAAAGATCTTAAAATTTCCATTTTTTTAATATATTATATTCCATTTTTTTAAATAAATAAATATAATTTAATTAAAAATATAAATTAAAAATTAATAAAATTAAAACCGCAATTTATTTCAAAGAATTAATAAAAAAATTGAAAAGATCTTAAAATTTCCATTTTTTTAATATATTATAATGTAATGTTATTATAATATTTTTCTCGTAAAAAAAGCAATAAATCAATCAAATTACACATTAATCATTTTCTTTGTTATTTTTATTTTCAATATTATTTTTTAGCCTTTCGTATCATGCAGCCTTTCGACTTTTAGACCTTGCGCAATTTTTTATATAATATATCACAAGAATGAATGCGCAAAAAAAATCAAAAAATATTAATCACAAATAAAAATTAAAAGAATGAATGCGCAAAAAAAATCAAAAAAAAATATTAATCATAAAATAAAATGCTTATTATACAATATGACTCCACGCTAACATGATACATACACATAACATAAATTTTATTTTATCATGTGCAATTAATAAAAATGAAGGTTTTATACATGTGTTTTTTAAATTAATGATAGAATAAAAAAATATTTACCCTTGAATACAAAAATGTTCAAACCAGTTTTTAGAGGTTCGAACCGAACCGATAATTTAATTTTTTACGAACCTTACCTAAACCTTCAACCGTAATTTTTATCCGAACCTGAACCCGTTTCGGTTTGGTTCCCTAGTATTTAGTGATACCCTATTCTTTCTTTTCTTTTTATATATAATATAAATAAAACAATAAAATATTTTTATTAACTACAAATAAAAATATAAAATAAAAAACTAATCCCTTATTTTTTTAGGTTATATTTATTTTTTCCTATTTTCTTCTTCCATTATTTGTATTATAAAACTTTTGGATATTTCATGTCGTGAATAACCGCGAAATCTAAATTAAAATATTTTTCAATAGTTAGTCGACTAAATTTAGTCTGACCCGTTAAAATCTAGACTTAGAATAATAAATATGATTACAATCAAAATATAATTAAATTAACTTTTATTTGACGCCCGTATCAATATTTTGCTTTGTTAAATATTCCTGCCCCCTCAAGACCTAGAACAGCCTACTTAAAATAATAATTATGATTACAGTCAAGATATAATTAAAACACCTTTTATTTGATACTCATATTATTATTTTGTATTAATGAAAACATTCTTTACCCCCCCCCCTCCCCCAGCCTTAGATTAGCCGAGAGGAAACGCCTTTTGATTAGCTCTCGATTGATATATATTGAACTTATATACTTTCCTGAGTTCAACAAAAAGCAACTATCAATTGGTTCTTACTCCGGGTTTTAACCCTGGGTCTGTGCTCGGGGTTTGTTCTCAGAGCTGGTTTAGTCCATATTTAGACCCAAACCCCGGGTCTGGGCTTTACACAACCAATTAACAACACTAATACAAACATTATTGGTATATATGAATGAAATTTTTTAAATAATCAAAAATTTAACATTATTTCTGATAATGAAACATTTGATTTGATTTTTAAAATCGGAGCATTATAGATATATGATAATATAAAAATAAGATAAATTTTTTGCCATTTTATGTATAATATTTCCTTGCCATTTATTCAGGAAACCTTTTTTTCATATGATTTTTTTTTAAATTCCAAAATTAACTATATTGAGAAGTTATTGTAAAATCTTAATAAATTATTCTGTATACTATGTTATTTTAAAAAAATAGGGATCGAGAGGTGACCCGGGAAAGAGTCTAGACGGTTTAGATGGAGAACCAGGTTTAAATGGCAAGCCAGGCAGTGACGGAATTCCGGGAAAAGATGGATTGAACGGCTTGCCTGGCCTAACAGGTGAAGTCGGTATCCCAGGGCCAGATGGAATACCCGGCCAACCGGGTAAACCAGGGTCAAACGGAAAACTAGGAGTTGACGGGAACCCGGGGCAAGATAGTCTCAACAACACTGATGAAATAGGGCCAAAGGGTTTAATAGGAAGCCCAGGGAAAAATGGTCAAACGGGAATCGACGGCAAACCGGGTAAACCTGGAAGACCAGGAAAAGATGGTCAACCGGGGTATGATGGACAAGATGGAACTGATGGGACTACGGTATATTTGTTTAATAAATTATAATACAATTTTTACACTTATTAATATTAGAAAATTTATTATTTAATAGTATGAAACTTGAATCAGGCGAGTAACAAGGGAAATTATCCCTCTCCCATTGTAATATGTCTCTTTTCGTAAATTTTACTTTGGGAAAAAAATTCCCCTACACATCCCCAACCCCCCTTTCCCTCAATATTGTATATAAAATATGACTTTAAAGAAGAATTTGTAAGAAAAATTCGTAAATGTTAATCACTTTTTAAATTAACAGTTCAAAATTTTTAGAAAAAAGTGAAAGCTAATTATTTTTATAAAAATCTAATATAACCAAATTCCGACAAGTTGACCTATAGATCTCCAATAAAATTTATGGAGAAAAAATCTTTATAATGATAACCCTCCCCACAAAATCCTGGATAGGCCTATGGGTATAATAAATGAACTATGGAAACTTATTGATTTTTAAACGTTTATATAAAAACTAGCAGATAACCAGTCAAAGAATGACGGGTAAATCATAAATTTTGCATTTATTTTTCGACTAATGAACAGAAATATGTCTTATATAAAAAATCGTTAAAGCAAAACTCTGACTTAATAAGAATAATTTTTTAAAATCATTAATTATAAATACAGATATTTAAATGAATATGTAGTTGAAAAGATTTTATTGTAAATGAATAACCTTTTTTATAATCTTTAAAATAAGATTTAGATATGGTCCTAATAATTTATGCCTAGTTGAAACTAATAAATATATTATTCACTTTATCAAAATAAGGAAAATTTTTGAATAACCTCTCATTAAAATATAGGTATATTTTTGATTCATACCTCATAAAAATAAAGTATATTTCTGATTAACCCGGCATCAAATAAAGTGAAAATTATTGATTTAATTTACAAAACAAACAAAATTATTTTAGATAACAAAATTTGCCAGGCCGTAAAATCTTTCAAATTTTAAAACAAATCTTAGGTTTAAATAAAAATTTTTGCCCGGGAAAAGGATAATTATTTAAAAAAGTGCTGGGCTAAAGCATGTTGAAAAAATGATTCGGGCCAGGCCTAATCTGTAGATTTCAGATTTAAATCATAGTATCGCGTGCATTCATGTGCTGATTATATTTTCGTTTTTGCTTTGTGATATATCAAGGGCAAAGAGGATTTTATGAGTTAAATAAGGAATTCTGGCAGACTCTATGGAAAAAATACTTGGATAATCAATCTGTATATATTCATAAATATAGTAAACTATAGTTCCATTATTTTTCTCATATAAAATATAATTAACATTATCTATAATGTAATATAAGATGAAGAATTTATGTTTATATTTTTGATTATACATGTTTCTATATTTTAACATTAGCACGGTTCGGCTCAAAGCCGCACTTCAAGAATTTTGAAAAGATATTTGGCCCGGCTCGTATAATTCATTAAATTTTTTACAAGTTTCATACCCGACCTGGCATATATTAATTTTTAAAATCACAAATTTGCATTATTCAAGGTTTAAAATAAAATACAAAAATTCGGATTGGTCCGTTTGACCTAAATGACCCGGCACAAAGTTGCCAAGGCTCAAGTTTTTAAGCTTAACCCGCTGGCCTGACTGCGCCATACGGACTACTGCCTATTTTATCCATCTATAATATATGATGAAATATGCTTATAAATAATATTTTTATATATTTATCCATTACCTAGATTTATTAAAATATATAAGCATTAACTTTAGTTAGTAATGGGCTAAATAGAAAAGAATAATACTTGAACTCAAATGTTACTCTTCGTAGCTGTATTTATTTTTAAATAATTTTTTCCCATAGTTTTTTTTCCAAAAGCTTTTCCCCTCATTATAAGTAATCATTATTGCTTAAGGACTTGACTTAAATTATACATTTTTGGGAATGAAGTGTCGGATATCGGGGGAATATTGATAGAGGAAAAATTAACAAATGATCCATTCAACAAATAAATTATTTATAAGCACTACTAGATAGCACCCCATGAGGACTCGGAAAAATTTCAGCGTAATAGGCCGCAGTATCTCCTTATGATAAAACAACTTTATGTTAAAACTCAGCTTACAAAGAATATCCAATTTAGTAATAAAATGTAACTAATATATCATGGGCCATGATTTAAGCGGATTAAAAATCATTGAAAAATTAAGCCAAAGTCGTCACGCAATTTTACAATTTTTAGACGAGGGTAATATAAAAATTTTTTTTACTTATCTCGAGTTCATTTTATAAAACATATTTAACAAATTTCCTATGGTAAAAGAGCCCGTGCCTACCATTGCTTGATACTTGAAACCATATTCGCACTGATTAAAAACATAAGTTGGTTAAAGTGTAGCAAAGATTCAAAAATCTACTCTGCAAATGCCTATATACTGAAATGCTAAAAATATTAATTACCCTCTGTTTCCACGCCAATAAAATATATCCAACATACCAGTTTATAACATATTCCACCATTTTGTATTATAATTGTAACATTATTTACATGATGCAGTTATGTGTCGTATGTTTTAGAATGGCAATAATATTAATAAAAGAATCATATAATCTTTTTTAAAATATATACTCTTCAGAGGGAGTACCTAAAATTTTCACAACTCATATATTTTTATTTAAAATAAAATTTTTAATTGTATAATTATATTAATTTTTGTATTTACTATATTCACTATACCCCATCTAATTATTCCCATCATTTTCTTTCCAGCTTAGTTGAGGTTAATTATCATTGTCAAAATCTAATATGCGCTACGCTTTACCGCTATATTAAACCCGTAAAGGTCTTTACTTAAAAATTATGAAAATAAAATCAAGTCTTTGTCTCAGAAAAGTTTTAACTTAAAATTCGGTTATAGTTCCTGAATGCAAGTAGTAATGTCAATGAAGGGAGGAGCACAGGCAGCGCTGTGCCGAGATTATGGTGTCCAGGGCAAAAAATAATTTAGTGGCCCCTTAAAAAAACACAACTTACCTATGCTTATTTAATACTTTTTCGCAATGAGAACTAAAAACATATAGACTTAATTAAATTTTAATCATAAATGAGTAATGCACATTAAAAAATTATAATCATTAACTAGAATATTGCATTTTATTTATCCTCCTCGCCTTTTTATTTAACGATGAGATGATCTGCGTTCTGCAGATGACGGTAATTAGAATGGTTATAAAAATCCTTAATACAATAGATATATTTGGTAATTTCATTTAACCTATTAGTGTTAATATAATTCCAATGGAGTTTTTATAGGCGCTTGATTAATATATTCACTAAAATTTTAATTCAATTAAAGGTCTTGCGGATTAATATCGCTTTCTAACGTATCCTGATCCGTTAATAAAATAATAGATGACAAAATTTTTCCTATAGCTCTCTTTCAGGCGCATCTATTAATTCTGGTATATTGAATAAGAATCAAAAAATCTTTAAAGAGTTTTAATAGCTGAAAACGTCTCCAACGAATTTCTCGCTTGATCTAGTAATAAAAAATTCAATCTAATAATTTTTTTTTGAAGATCGTGTATAGGCGTGTCATCTCCTTCGTAAGAAATTGTTTTTTTTGCTTTTCATCATTCAGGGGAATTCTGAAAGCCGCTTTCCTTAAAGTGATCTAAAAATCTTGAGTACTCTCTAAAGTATAATGGCTCTTTCTAATTCAATATTGTCACTTTGCATGACTGTGTTTATAGAAATAACCTGGGTTTATATACCAAACCAGATGACAAAGTTACCAAAAATGAGAACTGTTTTAATACTTTAGCCAATAAAATGGCTTATGTGCAGTATTTGGGGTCATTAGTATTTTCGGTATGTCTATTAATGCATGGTAAATATCCCCAATCTGGAATCTAATGGCTTTTATACTCTTAACCTTGCACTCTTATCGCGTTTCCGATAATGGTTTTAAGGTAAAATTATTTATATGCTTCAAAATTGACATCGCTGAATCAAAACAGAAAAGAGAACATATATTCGTTGGACAATGCCAAAAAATGATTTTGCGACTAATGATGGTGCCATGCATGTCACTAAGTAGCAGATTTAAGGTGTAGAAACCACAAGGCAAGACATAAAAAGCGTTCTCCGATTTATTTGTAATATTCGAGCTTGAACCCCTTTATAACATCCTTTCATATTTGTCCATTATGGTAACCTTTTCTATGACAATTTTTTATCTTTAACTCCAATTTTTTAGATAATGATAAAAGTGCTTTTATCAAGGCCTGGGCATACTGGTGATTTTTAAAAAACCAACAAATCGCTCATTTAGTTCAACGGAGTTGTTGTTAACTTCTACGTATTGTATAACTATAGTTAATTATTTCTGGTGGCTTGTCTGGTGTACAACTATATTTACGGAAAAATATATTGCGTTTTTAATAGCATCAACAATTTTTTCTATGATTTTATCTCTCTATCAAATTAATTTCATTTTGTATTCGATTTCCAAATTAATGATTATGAATTTCATTCATACATGGAATTTTTATTTAAAAAAAAGAGATTTAATGCCTTGTATGTAGCGTATATAAAAAATTCTTATTTTACTAAATTTTGCGACCCCTGAAATTTTCTAATTTCGACGGCCAAGGACGGCTACCCCACTCCCCATCCCTCCGCCTGCATGAAGCTGGGGCTCAAAACTCCTAAAAAAAATTGAAGAGCCTTCTGAGAATATTGAAAAATACCTAAAAAAAGGATCATTTTGACATTGTTTGCCAAAAAAAGAATAAAATGTCATTCAAAACTAGCAAAAAAACTTTAAAAAAAATATTTTGAGCTCCCTGAGATTCTAAAGGCTAGTGATGCCACTAAATTTAAGCAGGTCTGCACTGCGAAATCGGGGAAATTCCATAATTTTCTGCGATTTCCTCAATAATTGGATTCATAACTTCACAACGCTTTTTGGTCAAATAATTTGATGATCACCTAAAAGAAGCAAGGAACATATGGGGCCAGTCAACTCTGATTAATACGCCTCGCCCTTTCTTTCGCTATTCTATAAAGGGATTAGGATATGCCCTTCCACCAAAGCTCCATCGAAAACTTTATATCGTTTTCTATATTAGGAGCAATACCTATAAATTTCTTGATACAATTCCCCATAAAAACTAGTCCTTATTTTATCTAACAAGAAATATGCACAATATCCTTAAAAAGCGCCAGGCTGCAGAGGTATAAATTCTTTAAGGAGATAGGCAAGCGTATATATTCAAAACGAATAAGCTTCAAGAACTTTTGGAAAATGCTTGCCATTGGTATAATTTACTCTAATTATTTAAGCTTTATCTCTTATTTGGATGATGCTGAAGCTTCTTATGTTTTAACAAATTAATTTATTCTTAATAATATATATATTTATATTATTTTGTCTATATATATATGATAGTTTTATAAATGTATTATGTTTTACTTTTTATATATTTCTATTCTTATTGTAGCCAATGGGCATAGCCAAACAATGGGGGGGGGGGGGGGTTCGCTTCTTTGGAAATTTGACTATACTCATAAATATCATATTAAGCTAATAAAATTTTTCCCATTACACATCCCCCATCCCTAAAAAGATATATAAAAAAAACATTTTTATAACAAGAAAGTGAAAAACTAATGTTATTTTTAGAAAAATATTCCAAAGGTCTATAATAAGCCAACCTGAAGACCTCCAATAAAAATTATGTGCGGGAAGCCTTCAGGATAGTGTCCCTCCCAGAAAAATTCCTTATGATCTAGTAAATAGTTATGTATTAACAAAGCATTTAAAAATAACGATATATTTAATGTTGTTACCTCAAAAAAGAAACGCGATACCGTTACATTGGAAAAAAAGAACGCGTTACCCTTACTCGTTACCTTTTTAAAAAAGGAACGCGCGTTACTGACTTTTCAAAAAAGTAACGTATTACTCGTTACTTAAAAAAATTAAATATTATATACAAAAATTACAATATATAATATAGACAAAACTATAAAATACATAAAATGATGAGATCTTATTATAAAAATTTTTCATATAATCATAAGATAACATTTTTTTGTAATAATTTTTTATTTATTTTTAGCAATAATTGATTTTCAAAATTTTCATCAGACAAACAAGTGCGCTTAGTGCTCAACACAGCCTTCGCCGTGCTAAACACACGTTCAATTGGAGCAGAAGATGGGAGGGTGGTATTATATTTAATAAATAAAAATTTTAACTCGGGGAATTTATTAAAAATATTTAAAAAAGTAATTTTTCACAAGAATTTTCATTAATTTCCTCATCAAAAAAAAATTTATCTTTATCAGAAAATATTTTGGTATTTGTTTTGGATAAGGGAATCAGTCTGCTCTTTCTCTATCAAGACCTTTTCTCAAAATGGAAATAAGATCTTGCATTCTTTATTTATTCATCTCTGATTTTATCCAGGGCCAATCTAATTTAAATGGTGGGTGAATCATTGCTGATAGTATATATTCATCTTTGTAGATGTGTTTGAACCTATTGAAAATAAAATCAAAATATAAGCAATATTTGAAATGTATACCTCTTATCTATGCCTTCCAGGATTGAGTTAATAAGTGGCTTACAAAACTTGAAATGATTTAAAGCCATTTTTTTAAGTTTTAATATTATAATGGTTATTGTGGGAGTGATCCCAAATACATTTTTCCTTCGCTCTCTAAAATAGAAAGAGCCTTAGCAATTGGGTCCATAACCTATAAAACATATATATACATATAATATTTCTTAATTTACACTAACCATAAAAAAATCATCCATGAACGACTTGTCGCTATCTGAAAATCTCTGCAATTCAGATTTATCACAAGAGTCATCAAATTTTTGGCAATTTTTCTTAATAAGACTATCTATTAATTTCACGGAGTTATAAAAAGAGTTCCATCTTGTTATAACCGGTTTAATAAGATATCTTCCCATGTTTTCCTTAAAAATGGTTGCACAATTTAAAGATTGCCAATGTTTATTCCACAATAGCTACATTTAGAAAATGTAATTTTTGAAATGGCTTTAAAATGGACATCGTTATTTGCCTTTTCAATGTCAACACTTGCAATCAGATTTAAAGTGTGTGCTGAATAGGAATGATGCTTGGGTAGGTATACAATACTATCATTATGATTTTCAAATAGATCACATAATGGCAGATGAACTATTTCATCATCCGGTTCTTCTTCTTGTTCATATACTCTAATAAATTTTTAGTAAATATATTATAATTTTTTTTTACTTGAAAGCTTTTATATAATTTCTCGCATTATCTGTAATGCATTTGGTCACTTTATTTTGTATCTTATAAGTGGTAAAAATTTCAAAAATTATTTTTGCTAGGTAATTAAATGTGTGTTTTTGATTTAGCCTTTTACAAGCTAGGGAAGCTGAAACCCTCTCAAGTGTGTCTGGGTGTAGCCAGTGTACAGTCATCCCTAAATAAGAACATTTTAAAAGGCAATATTATCAATCTACAAGAATTTTATATGCCGATGATAAGCTGACCAAGAATCCACAGTTGTACAAACAATTTCTGGAATACGCAATAAATCCACTAATTTTTTTGTCATGGTTTCACCAGATTTGTTAATTTTTGATACAAGGGTAGGCCTTGATATCACATTTTTGGATGGCTGCAATTTTTTGATAACATTAATAAATGCAGGGCTTTCTACAATTGAAAATGGTTGTAATTCTTCAATTACAAAATTAAAAACTAATTCATCAACAGTTGATTGAGTTATATTGATCTTTGATGTAGATGGATTCTGCATATCAATGATTGTGAGTTGATTGGTTTCAATTTTTTTTCTTTTATTACTATTTAAGTTTTCATTTATTTCTTTCAAACATGAGGAATGTAAAGCCTATATTTTAAACAAAATATAATTATTTATTACTGAATATTTTATTAAAAATAACTAAGCTTTTTTAATAATTGAAGATTAAAAATTTAACTGCGTTTTGAATCCCTCACTAAAAAATTAAAAATTGATATTCTGATGGCCAAAGGTTTTTCAATTTCTTACTTTTTTCATAATTATCATTTAAAAAGGAATCAGGAAAAATATCTCTGTTCTCTAAAACAATATTGCTTCAGTTTCATTATATATTTAAAAATACATAAAATAAAGTTTTTTAAATTCATATTAACTATTTGAAGTTATACCAATAGCAATACTAAAACAAGAAATAGAAGATATTGTTTAAACCCAATAATATATTGAACCAATACCAATATTTTATTAATCTTGAGTTTTTAATGTAGGTTCCCAGCACTATATACTATAGTATAATTGCTTATATTTTAATTTCATAATTAAGCTTTTCAAATATTATGAGAGAAAATTTCTTTAATTAACATATGTTTAAAATAATATATTAAAATCACTATCTTATTCTTTAAATTTATTAACAATTTGATATTAAACAAATAGCGAGACTAAAACAAGAAATAGAAGATATTGTTTAAACCTAATACATTAGATATTTTGTTAATCTTAAGTTTTTAATGTTGGTTCCCAGCCCTATATACTATAGTATAATTCAATTGTTTTATATCTAAATTTCATGATTAAGCTTTTCAAAATATTATGAAAGTATACTTATTTTAATGGTTATTTTATAATAAACATATGTTTAAAATAACAGTATATTGTATTAATATCATTATTAAAATCTAAAAATAATAATATATTATTTCATCTTTTTACCTTCATATGTTTTTTTAAATTGGAACTGCTAGACATCGAGGTTGATATATTTGTGTTAGGACATAATCTACATTTACAAAGTGTCGATTTTGTAATTTTCTTTATTGGAATAAAATATGTCTCAAATTGAGGCCATGGAAGGGTTAAATTTTCTTCATCAGAAGAATCAACTATTATAGAGTTTGGCATATATTCTTAAAATAAATTATAATATAGAATAATAATATTAATATATACTTTGAATTTTGATTGAATATTAGTTAGATTAAAATTTGATTGAAAATAATGATCGAAAATTTAAATAAGAATGAAAGGAATGGTGGTTGATATGAATTAAAAACTCGGTTTATTATTTATATTAAAAATAAATAAAAGTAATTATATAGCACAATAAAATATTTTTTTAAGAAAAAATTTAAAAACGAGTAACGTTTTACGTTACCGTTACCCAAAAAAAAGAAACACGTTACCGTTACTTCTAGAAAAAGTTAACGTATGACGTTACTTTACAGCACTATTAGAAAGTATATAGCCAAATTCAATAAGACGCACTTAAATTAGATAAAGGTTCCTAGTTTCTCTGAGGGACAGGTAACGTTCCTTTTTACACAAGACGGAATTTATCATACAACATTAGGATTATTTTCGAAAGTTTTGAATATATAATTCGAAAAGGAACAAGAACGGAATATTTTTATCTTAAAAGATCTGGAGGGTACCAAAAAGCAACAGAATATTTTTAATTTTAAAAGAATTGAAATGGAGTAAAACAAAAAATGCTTGTTTCCAAGACCATGCTTTTTATCTTATAAAATAATTTTTTATAAGTATATTAAATTCATTTTGCTCGAAAAAAAATAAGAATTTTTGTTGTTTAAAATAGGCAAGATTTTATTATTTTTAAAAATTTCCATTATATTATTTCATTCATAAAATAATTCTTTATTTATTTTTCTTAGTGGATTTATAATGTTATATAAATGTTATCAAATTCTTAATTTATTTAAATAATATAATAACGAACTAGCCACACCTAAGTCTGAAATTAGCAAAAATCAGAAAACTTTATAAGATTTTTTAAAAATGAATTGTTATGTAAATTTTTGGATATTGATGTAGATAAAATTATACAAGAATATGAGTATTGAAGCCTTGATCATTTAAGAGGTTTTTTAAAAAAATTTCATATTACTAGGGTTCTCAAGGAATTAGAGGAACAAATGGTAGACCGGGAAAGATGGGATTAGTGGGGGACCTAGGTGTTATAGGCGAAAAAGGACAGAAAGGCCCAGAAGGATTTAAAGGTGAACCTGGCAAAGACGGAGCTAGAGGCAAAGATGGAGATCCTGGGGCATATGGATCGCCCGGAGAACCGGTTGTTAATCAATTGTTTCTTATATATTTTATCTCTTTTCTTATATACAGACTATAATCATGATGAGTTTTTTATAAAATAAACAATCTATTGAATAATATAACTTCTTAAAACAAGGGAGATGATGGTGTGGATGGTAAAGAAGGATCCGGTGGTAAAAAGGGCCTCATGGGATTGCTTGGCAAAGATGGAATACCTGGTGTGGCAGGTAAACCTGGGGCTAGTGGAAATGATGGTCTAGATGGTTTGCCCGGGAAAAACTATAAATGTGATTGTAAGAAAACTAACCAATTAAACGGGGAAGGTAAAGTAACTTACACCAGACACGGTAGATCATCTTGTCCTTTAGCCAATGATGCGACTGAATTGTATAATGGTTCACATTTTTTTTTTAGTTTTTAAAATGATAAGAATTTTTATTATACAGTTTATACTATTCTGCCCTAAGAAAAAAAACCACTAACTTCCATTTATTATTTTTAAAATTAATATAAATATATATGAAGACCTCAGAGTTCTTATATATAAGATATTATACCCTTCTGTATCTTGCACCATGTATCTTTTGTCAATACTTATGTCTAAATCCAAGATATTTTATTTTTAAAAGAATCTTGTATTGTCATTTCCTTTACAAGCATGAAAATACAGATAATTTTTTATGTTTTGTCTAAAAAATTCAATATTTATTTTTAACATTTTTTTTAGCGCGAACCTTTTATAGTGAAATTTCTACCGCGAATGTATTTGCGCAAAGTCATTATAGCGAGCTCATTACTGCGAAACAATAAATATATTGCAAATGCATTTAAAGGAAAACAACATATTCAATATTAATTCACTCACATCCAGGGGTTCGAACCGAACCGCAAAACCGGAATGAACCGTTATGATTTTCTGAACCGTAACCTTAACTGAACCGTTATGAAGAAAATATTAAAAGAGCGAACCGAACCGTTATAAATATTTCGGTTTTAAAAATAATTAATTTTAAATTATTAACCTAAATTTAAAATTTTAATTTTCCTGAAGTATATCAAAAACTTAATTCGTTAAAATTAGATATAGCAACTAGATATGATAGGTCCATATTGGGGATCAATATTCAATTTATAATTAACGGAAAAATAAAATTAAGGACTCTATGCATGAAAGTGATTAAAGAACGACACACATCAGAATATCTTAAAAAAATTATTCTAGATGTTCTAAAAGAATATGAAATAAAAATTGAGCAGATTTACACAATACCACCGATAATGCAGCAAATATGATTAAGTTAATTAAGCTATTAATACTACACGATGAAGAAGATGATGACCTTAACGATTATTTAATTAATGATGATTTAAATAATAATGATATAGATAATGACGATTTAAATAATAATGATATAATTCATGATGAAAATAAAGAACTTTTTAATATTGAAAATATTAATCTTGCACCAAATGCCAGATCCATATTAATAGGTATTAGATGTGCTTCACATACATTTCAATTGGCAATTAATGATTGCATTAAAAATTCAAATGAAATTGTCATTATAAATAAAGCAAGAAACATCTGCAAAAAAATAAGAAATCAGACAACAATGGCTATTCTCTCAAAATTAAATTTGAAAAAACCACTAATAGATTGTTGCACAAGATGGAACTCTATCTATTTAATGTTGGAGAGATTACTAGAGTTAAAAAGCTTTTGCCAAGAAATATCGCTCCGATCGCGAAAAATGTTTATCAGAGAATGAATGGAAAATAATTAGTGACATATTAAAAGCTTTATATCCAGCTAATGTTTTGACAAAATATTTACAAAGTGAACAATTGATAATGGGCGATTTTTATGCTGCGTGGATCAAATGTCTCATGCAAACGAGTAAAGTAGACACTCCATTTGCCAGACTTTTAGTTTCTACGATGAAAGCACGAGAAATAAATTTCAAAAATGAAGTTTTTTGCTCTGCTATTTATCTCGACCCTAGATATAATGTATTTTTAACTTTTGAAGAAAGAGAGATCGCCAGAAAGCATATTTGTAAAACTTGGAACTTGATACAAAATCTAAATAATCTGAATATTGAAATTCTAAATACTATGCCTACGTGTTCGTATTCGAAGGATAATTTAGATGATTTTGAAAATTTATTAAAGTCGCATGAAAGTCTTAATAGAAATAATTCTCAGGGCATCGAAAATTATAATAAATGTATAGAAATAGAATATATAATTCGGTCATTTGATAATATAGAGAGATTAGAAAAAGATACTAATCTTTTGAATTATTGGGAAAATGTAAAGAATAGTATGCCAGAACTTTATAAGTTAGCTATAACTGTGCTAGCAGTTCCAGCTACGCAGGTCTCCGTAGAAAGAGCATTTTCAAGCCTTAAGTTTATACTCTCTGCCCAGAGAACTCAATTAAATCCTGAAATATTAGAAAATATTTTAGTTATCCGTTCGAATTCTCTTTTTAAACCTAAATAGTATAGTATACATATTATTTTATTCATTATTGTATTTACGCATGTTTGTTTTTATCTTATTTATTTATAAAATAAAAAAAAACTAATTTGTCTAATTTATGTTTCCTAAATTTAATAAAAATATCTATTAGATTATCATGGATAAATTAAATAAGAAATTATAAACTAAAAAGATTTTTCTCTAAAATTAATATATACATGGTTAATGATTAATTTTTTTTTAAATTAAATTTATAAAAACCGGAACAAACCGAAAAGAACCGTTATAAATTATAAACCGAACCGATATGATTTTTTTTTAAAAAACCGAAATGGAACAAAACCTTTATAAAATTTTAAACTAAAAACCGGAACGAACCGAACCGTTATACTAAACGGTTCGAAACCCTGCTCACATCCTTAAATTATAAAAGCGTGTCATAACACCCCCTCATTCCCATGCTAAGATATATGTTTTAAAAATACTTTTAAAAATTTGATTTTTCTTATGATTTGTAGTGATGGAGATGATTAACAAAACAGTCGAAAAATATTTCTATTTGAGATTCATGTCGAGATATTATAATTTATATCTTCCACCCCCATATTTCTCTTAAAAACATAGAGATGAATAACAATGTAAACACCTTCTTTTATTAGCTTTCATTTGATACCCATGTAAAAATATTATGTTACAAATATTCCACCCCCCCCCCTCCAACCAGGCTCAGACTTAAATGACTGTAATATGTATTAAATATATTTTTTTAAATAAACTTTCATTTAATATTATTTCAAGGTAGGTTTTTACATCTCTCCTACCCCCTATCAATGAGCTAGATCAAAGAACTTAGAGGATTCAAAAAATATTTTATTCACTTTCATTTGTTGTCCTTGTAAGATATTTCCTGTAAAAAACAATTTAAATCTCTTCAAACCTAGATATGAGATAGTCTAGAGAGAGAGTGATGGGTAATTTTAATAGTACTCAGAACCATTTTATTGGTTACCATTTGATACCCATGTCTAAATATTTTTAGAGTAATGATTAATTAAAACTCAAAAAATCATGGTAATGCACTTAAAAATAGTAAAAATTCGGGGTGATAATGTATATTAGAAATTCAATTCTGAGAAAATTAAAATTTTACTTAGCAAAATCATCTTTTGGGAATTCATTGAAAATTACTTTAAGTAGTTTTAATTCTGAGTAATTAAGGGAAAAAATTAATATATGTTGAAGCACTAACTTACACTTATTGCAATTAAGCATTACATATTTGCTTAAGCTTCAGAATTAATGTTTCCCAAAATTTGGCAAACTTTATGCTTAAAGCTACGTCTTAATATTAGATTCAGATAAAATATTTTGGAAATAAAACTATTATTTTTTATCTAATTAAACCGAAAAGATAAAAAAAATATCTATAAAAATCGTATAATCATAAGATTCATAAATATTTTGAAATTGGAGAAATCCTTAGATGAATTTATTTTGGAATCGCCATTCAAAATTCGATAAAAACCGTTAGTTTTTATTTTACTTTTACCTCTGATTTTGGTTAGTGACTTTTTTCAACTGATTGATGAATTTATATTGACCCTTCGCAATATATTTTTCGCTATATTGTCTTCACAATTTGGGTTTCGCGATAATGAATTCGTTATAAAACTTTCGGGATTATTGATTTGCAATAAATGTTTCGCTGAAATGTATTCGCTTTAAAGGTTTCACTATTGATAATTCGGATATTGTCTTCACGGAATAGTATTCGCTAATGTAGATATGCAGAATAGTATTCGCGATAAAAGTTTCATTATAAAATTCATTCTCGATGGGTTCGTGAAAGTTTCTCGATAAAAGTTTCGCTAAATTGACAGAGAACCGGTAAATTTCATGAACTTTCAGATATTTCTAATTTTTTACAAGAGTTTGTTAAATGTTAAATAATGGGCTATTTTGGGGAAAATGCACTTATTTTTTTAGATATCTTTGGATATAATTGAGCTAGAGGCGCCATTTAAATTTCTTTATATAGATTAATGGTAGGTCTTTAAAGTTAATGTCAAAAACGGAAATGATCATAAAATCAAATCGCCATTTTTTTTCTCTCAAATTTTTTAAATATATGTAAGATTAATTTATAAATTTGCAAATTCTCTAGTTGGACGGAGCTAGAGTATATGGCATTTTAATCATTATTCTATTGCAAATATTTGAAATTAATCAATAATTGTAGTACAGGTCAAAAGCTATCAAACATTTCATTTTAATATTTTAAACATTTAGTTATTTAAGAGATCCGATGGAAGTGTGTGAGGGGGGGGGGGGGAGGCTTTGGTTTATGATTTGAATTTCTCTCTTTAAAAAAAATTATTTTTTATTATAATTTTATTGTAAACAAAATTTATTTTTATAAAAATATTTAATTTTTATACATTGTCAATTGAATAATTTTCAGAATATTAATATAATTTCCCTAATCATAAAAGCATGCTATCCGGACATGGGTTTGACCTTCAGCACATGATATTTTCTTATATTTATCATCCATATGCGAATTAATTCCAGTGATATTTGTTCTCCAAAAATTAAATAAATATAAGGTATTTAATATTTAACTCTCATATGGATGCTGAAGGCTAGTTATATTAGATACTGCCAAGTTGACATATGAGAGTTTTCTAAATAACTTTTAATAAATAACAACAATATATTTGTAAGATCCATATTTATATATCAAATGATGTAATCACGAAGTCGCCTCCGATCTAGAAATATATTTTAACAAAAAGTATCTTGTATTTTAGACACTCTTATTTAGCAAACGATACAAGTCTTATATCTTTTTAATAAGATATGTATTTTTCTATAAATAATCTGTATTTAGATTCTTTTTTTAAGAATCTGCTTAACCCTAAAATTGTTAATTATTTAAATGAAATTTTAGGACATTATAGTACAATCTTGTGGGTATATATAAAACTTTACCTCCAGCCATTTTAGAATATGACAAGATTAAAAAGTGGGACGTGATTCAACAAAAAAACGACCACATGAAATCGAATCGGATAATGTTTATATGAAATCTCTCTTTAGTTAATTGTTTAATCTTATAATAAAAATTTTAACTTTTTCTAATTTTTTAATTCTTTGGTCTCTAATGACTCGTGGAAAGACAGATATATATTAGTTAACTATTAATGCATTCAAAGGGAATAAAAATCGCTGTCGACCTAAACATTAATACATGCAGGATTCAAGATATAATTCGAATTTAATTTGAGGATTTACAAGGAATATCAAGAAAAATGCCGGATATATTATTGGGTCTATTTAAAATTAAAGTAAAATACACGTCAATCTATTATATTTTGATTTTTTGAAAATTTCTTCCAAAATTCACCTGAATTAGGATTCATAAACCTTTTTATTTATAAGGTAAAGTTAGTTTATTAATTCGTCTATATTCAACATTTTTTTATAAAGTGAAAAAATAACCTTTAGAAAAAGAAAATTTTTTATTGCAATTGAATTATTCTCCATGAATAAAGCTATATTTAGTCATGTTAAAAAATAATAGTGTACTAATAATAATCCCGTTCTGAGAAAGAAAAATGATGTAAGGCTCTTAATTCCTAAAAGTGTAATTATCTGCAATTATATGATTGGAAAAGGTTTGTAGGGATTGTAATTCATAAATGGCATTGTAAAATCTAAAACTAATAAAAAATATTCTCTTATTAGCTTATCCAATCAAAAAAGTATTTGCTTCAAGAAATATCTTCTTCATCAAAATCAAAATGATTATTGGAAATGGTTATTGCAATAGTCTTTATTAAGTCAACCTCAATCTAATCAGAAATATATGTGGAATTATGAAGAGTTATCAAAGCATAATCGTAAAGTAGCTATATAAATATTAGATGTAGCATGGAGCCAGAATTAATATAACTATATTCAGTTGAGGTAATTTAAGCAATGACTATTGGCTGAAATATAAAGTTATTTAATTTTGAATATTTATTAATTTTTCTATTTTCCCCACAAGTAAGAGGGTTTGTATTAATCGATGAAGGAAAGGATGATACTCAGGTTGTATCCCAAATAAGGGATTTCCCATTAAACCAGGGGGTGCAGGTTAAGCCGTCGGCTGAGGCCGTCTTGTAATGAGAGGTTGGTAGGTTCGGGGATGTTGGGTATTTTAGCTTTATTAAAAGCTTTATGTAAGATTTTATTAATTGCTTTATGCCGGAGATGGCGTCCTAGGCTGCGGGTGCAGTTTGTGTCTGGCGTTAGGTTGATCAGGTAGGCTGCATTGGTGGCAAGAGTGTGAATGTGTAAGCGAGCATCCAAGTCTAAAGCCTATAGTAACTCTCAGTTGGTCATTGGTTAAGAGATTATCTAAGGTTTGGCTTGGAAGTGCTTCGAGCCATTCATGCCCGCGGTATTTATCGTTGTTTTATAATAGTTGTATATCGCTGATTTCGGTAGGGTTAAGACTATTTTGTAATTTTTTTATTAGGGGTTCGATGATAAATTTCGGTAGGAAATGTATAATCGACTGGGGTTAGGAGATTCCATCTTTCTATTGCTGCTGAAAGAAGATCAGGGGGAGTTATGAATAAAGAGATAGCAGAATTGAGCGATAGGCGATTTGATATAAATAGAGAAAGGTAAAGTAGTTCTAAGGGGATCAAGTCGATATTACCTAATTTAGCGGGTAATTGGGCTAGGTGCCAATTAAAGTCTGTTAATGAAAGGTTGAGGATCCTTTCTATAAAGGTCTTTAAGCGATTATTGTGTTGAATGAAAAATTTTGAGGAGGTGAATGAGAATGAGTGGAAGAGATGTGAGATTTTGGGAAGATATAAACACTTTTTTAATGAGTAAAAAAGCTGGTACGATGGAATGTGGTTGATAAATTTTTCCAACTTTTGCATCTCAGAAAAAGCTTTATCGATATTTTTTTCGGATATATTATTTTTAAGTAATGGGGAGCCCAATAGTTGGATATCTTCTTTTTCGATATTAGTGTATTCTTTAAATAAATCTAATTCAATTTTAGTTTTATTTAATTCTAAACCTATTTTAGAGTAATTTTTGTGCACCACATATGTCATCTTCATTTATTTTTTTGGAAATTTTGTTGCAGGTATTACTGAAACTTTCGTTAGAAAAATTAGGATTTTTAACGTATTCTAATAGTGTTAAATTTTCCAAATTTTTGAGTCTGTCTTTTATTAGGTTAGGTAGTGAGATAGATTTGTTATCTCTACATATATTTTTTTTAAAAAACTTTATCACGAAAATTTTTTAGAATAACAAACTAAATCGCGAAAATTTTTTAGCATAACAAACTAAATCGCGAATTTTTTTTAGCATAACAAACAAAAATCGCGAATCCTTATTTCTTAAACAAAAACTTCAATTGGAAATTTTCAAACACAATTATACTTGCTTTTTAGGTACATTTTCATTATTAAATTAAGCTCTTTTTTAAAAAAAAAATTTAAGCAAGATATAACTAAAACCTTCCAACATTATTGTGGTGGGGAGGTCTTATTGAAGCACGTCCCACTTTTGAATTTCATGATGATCTTGATATGGCTAATGAAAAATAAAAATTCCTATTTAGATAAAGGAATATACTATTATTTTTTAAAGGCCCATTAAAAAAAATAATGTTGTTAAAAGTTAATTTAAAAGTTAATTTTATTTAGTTTTCTAGCTTATCTTAAAAGTTAATAGTTACATTGCAGAAAACTTTTAAAATTATTTTAAATTAATTAAAGAAATTTAAATGAAAATACAATTGAATAAAGAAATAATTGCATGGAGTATAATTTCACAAAATATATTATAGGATAATAATATTTATTTACACTGAAAAAATATATAAACTCCCTAATATAACTTTTTAGTTGACTTTGTCTAAACTATTTTCAAAATTGGTGTCTAAAAAGGTGTGCTATCCAAAAATAAGCCTCTTTAGGCATTAACGTTCCACAGGAGGGCTATATGTATGTGGAATATCATATTAATAATATATATTAATATTTAACATATGCATCAAATGTAACTAGTTACTTTTGTTGTTACTTTCTCATAATTACTTTAGCAATAGTAAAAATAAGTCCTTCGTGTCTTCTTTCAATTCCAAAAATCATGTGTTTAAAGGTGGTCTTTTTTCTATTAAGGCAGAATAATATTATATTATATGATTTAACACTAATATTTAACAAAGTAAAAGAATAAAAACTGACTTTAATAACTTCCTTTTTTAAACCTATAAAATTTGGCATTATTCTAGGCTACATGGCTTCCGGGCACTTTTTGTATACGGGAAGCGGAGGCGATTTTCTGTGCCTGCCAAGTGATGCCTCTTTTTCCAAATACACCGATGTTTTCGACTCAAAGGCTAAAATATTTGCCGTAGTTTTTCGTGTAAGCCCTAACAAAAGCCCATTTTGGCATCCTCTAGAAAGCAACAGTACACTGTGTTGCACCGTATGTCACGTGCCTCGTAACACAGCACTCATGATACCGGGTGATATGTATTGTCCTCAAGGATGGACCAAAGAATATTCGGGGTTTCTTATGGCTGCTGCGGCCCATAACACGCGTACCTCGTTTGTTTGTGTAGATGAGGACCCAGAGGGACAAAGCATGAGACCAGACGAGCTAGGTGGTTCCAATTTGTACGTGGTAGAAGTCCAGTGCGGAATATTGCCTTGCATAAAATATCCCAACGGCTACGAAATACCTTGCGTTGTTTGTACTAGGTGATATATTACATCATGAGGTTGGGGATTTTTTAAAATTTATGATTTATGTTACAATTTAATAAATTTTCGACAACTTTGTGAGCAATCTTATTATAATTATGAATTTGTAATTTTAATATATTTTGTAATCATAATTCATTACTATTGCTCTTCTTACTTATCGCAAATTAAACTTTAAACTTATTATCACTCGCTACAATTTGAGTTGCCAGATTTATTTGGCAATTATTTGGTTATTTTAATTTTTAAAAAATTGAAGTCTTTAATAAGATTTACATCAAGAAAAATAGACATCAAAAAGAACCAAGTATAATTTATATTCCAAGATTTAGCCATGGCACGAATAAACTTAAGAAAAAATATTAAATATATCATATACTTTTTCTTGTGATAAATTCAATTTTTGTAATTTGAACGGTAACCTTATTATAACAAATATAATAATCATAAATATAAAAAAAATGGATTGTAGGCCTTGTCCTAAGGAAAATTAATATTTACAAAAAGAGAACTTTGCTAAAATTGTAGCTTGATATTTATGGCTTCTAAAGAAAAGGTATACTATAAATTTCAAGGTAAAATTATAGTAAGTTCCTCTTTTCTATAGATTGTTGGTAACAATTTTATAGATATATAAGGCCCACTAAAGGTATTACGTTACTTAATTTATGTGTCCTTATAAGATTAAGTAATAAAATTTTTATGAGAAACAGGAATATGCATATTAGTAAACTTTAAAATAAAATTTTGTGAATCATAGTATCTTAATGTTTTGTAATAGCTTGACACTTAAACATTGGAATGCCCTGGATTATGCTAAGTAGGGGGCCCTTAATAGTTGAAATTTCCCCCCATACTTTTTATTGGCCGTCTTTGTATTCACTCATTCTAAGGCTTTGACTGTTATATTTTTATAAAAATAATTTAGGCTTTTCACTTTTTTTTATAAATATGCTTTTTTCTAATAATTTTGAATTAGTTATTTTTTTATAAAAATTAACTTTTACTTCTCTTTCTTTCAAATTCTTGTTTAAAAAATATATTGGATACATATTTTAAGAAGAGGGGGAGGGAAAGTGGAGGGGATTTTTAATTAGGTTAAACTGATATTTATCAAAGCAGGCAAATTTCGAAGGGGGAATTCCTCCACCTATGCCCTATCTAAGTTTGGGCACTTTTATTATGAGTCAACCATCATAATTTCGAATTCATCTATATAATGCGATTGCCTTAAAATATAAAAATTATGACAAAAAGGGTTTAGGTTGTACAATTTATTCTTGCGAATTTCCATTACTTTTCAAGTTTGCATAGACACATGTACCTATCATAAAAAAATACTTGAATGATGAGACAGAGACATCTTTTGACTATGGTTGATTAAATAATTATATAAGCATTAAGCCTATTTGGAAGCAAGCATCCAGATCCCATATTGTTCAAAAAACCTCACAAATATCTAAATCAAGTAAAGCGCAAACAATTGTTGAAAATGGTTAAATTTTAGTAATGGGCAATAATGCAATTATTAAAAAAGATCTTCGAAACGAATGTGGATCGGAGATCAGTTTGATGTGGGATATATTACCAAGCTGTGAATAAGAAATGGCCATTCAAAATGACACCGAGCGTTGAATTAATACAATGCAAATCAGGTCTTATTTTCACCATATCTCATATTGCATATTATTTTTCGAAATTGACCATATGGTAGTAAAGAAAGAATGTAAACATTCCTATAAAATTACAAGTTTTCATTTGAATTATTTCATAAAATATACCTAATTTAAAGGTCATTTTTCAAAGAGAAATCCTTAGATTTAGATGACTTATATAAATATAAAATATATTTTAATAAAATATAATTTTTTAATATTTACTAAATATTCTTATTGCGATAATGAAACGTTAGAACAAGACATTTTGTCAAAATTAGAAAACATTAAATTGTATTTTTTAAGGAATTTTCTTAATAATCATCACTTGTGTTGATGATTTCATTATCAAGATTGAGGATAATAATAGAAAATGGTGAGAAAAAAAACGTACAATATTGAACTGCAGGAACCAAATGCTAACGTAAAAAAAATTTTTAAATGATGTTTTATCATTTTATAATAAATTATTATATATGGGTTAGAAATATAATTTATCTAAAATGATAATTTTGAAAATATATTCGACAAGGTACATTACGTTGCTAACATATTGGAATAAGATTTAAATTATGATTATGCAAATTTAAATTAAAATGCACATTGTTCTAGATTGTGAAATTTTTAATTTATTTTTTGATAAATATGATAAAGAAAGATCCAAATGAGTAGAAATTGGCCCTTAAATTATTATCTATTTATAATGGGCAGAAGATTATGGAATATTCAAAATGAAAAAAACATCAAATATTGGTCGTGCCAAAAGTAAACATTACCTCTCTCCGTTGATGCAGTATTCATAAACCTTAAAACAAATCCATGTTTATTTTATACCTGAATAATAGAATTTATGTGTATCACAAATTTTTTTAATGATACAAAAAATATTTTTGCAACCTTTTAAAAAAAATGATAAGTCTTATATATAATATATTAAGTAATTCGTTTTATATTTTGATAAAATCTTTAATCAACGATATATTCGATTAAATTCGTGACGTACTCCCTCAATTCAACCTCAATGGTGAAGCATTTGTTATTAATTATTGTTTTATCAATATTTCCTGTTTATTTGTATATGCTTTTAACGATATAGGGAACTTAATTTCGCAATTATCATATAGCAGAGAGATCGGGGTTATATTATCTATAAAAAATTTAGGGGCTACAAAAAATAAATGAAATAAATCTTCCAAATAATTTACATGTTATATTCTTTACATGTAGTTCAATTAATATTTAAGAAAAAAAAAATTTTTTATTAAAATTTTAAAAAATGAAAATAAGAATCACGGCATGAATATAGTATCTTTTTTATAAAGATTTTATTTTTTTTGGTATAAAAATGTTAATTCTATGTAAATAAATGAAAATATATGGTCAAACATGTTAACATGTAATAAGTTTATCCATATTATATATATGACGTAGCAGGATAAGGGTGCCAGATTCATTCAAAAGAAAAGCGGGAGAATTTAACCATAATTCAAAAAAATTTTAAAATACACACAGAATATTGTAAAAAAGTATACATATTTTTATTCATATTTAGAAAGTTTTAAGCTATTAATAAATTTTTTATTTTTTGTTACATAATCCTTAAAATTTACAAATATATATAAAATTATGTTTGATCATTAATTCCACTTCTTGATAAAGATAATCAATTACGATCTTTTCTTCAAAAATTTGATTAGTCTAAATATACGTTCTGAATCAGAGTTTGTGTAGTAAGAAAATAACATTCCATATTTTTTCAAGATTTGGGAAAATATTCTTGGAAAAAAAGTACCCATATATTTTCGTGAGCTAAATTTGACAAATTATTATTTTGTTCGTTGAATGTATTTTAAATCAATGAATTTCTGATATAGTTCATCTAATTCGTTAATTTTAAAATTAAAAATGGTTATTATAAATTCAACTTCCTCTAATTTGAATTTGTTATCATGCCATAATATTTATTTCCCATTTATTGTTTGTAAATTTGATTTTTTTCTCCGAAATAATGTCTTAATGAATTTTGCTAATGAGATATTATAATGATAATCACATTTTATAAGAATTTGTTTTACAACCGAGCCATAAAATTTATTGATATTAGGCTTAAGTTTTAACTAATTTATGCACTAATGAAAACGTCACCACTGCAATTGAATTTTCGGATTGAAATTTTTTAACCATGTTATTTAATGTCTTCTCCATAATAATAATTAAGCCTCAGCCGCCAATTCGTTTTAAAAAAATTATTTTTTGAATTGAGATTTTTTGGAATAAAAAATAAGATTTAACAGCTAAATATTTTTTATGCAGGTATGTATTAATGATACATTTTGTCAGAACACCTCGTAGAAGTTCTGACCATTTAATATCTTGGAAATCTATAATTTTCCCTAAAACGGATACCCTGCTTGAGGATCTACTGGGCGTAACATTACATAACAACTAATGTCTATAGATAATGAAGCGTGTCCTTTCTTTATGCATTGTGAATCATATGACAGACAACCAATAGGGATAAATATTTATTCAAAATATATAAATTGGTCATCATACTTTGCCTTTATCCAAAAATCATACTATCTTTATCAGAAAGACTCTTACGTTGATAATGAAAGATTATAATCTTCAAGGCTCTGCACAAGCATAGATTAAATATGCCACGATTTAGAGTCCAGTGAAAATTTTCTAAGAAGTTTGCTTAAAACACCTCTCTAGTAACGCATCGTTATTGGGAATTTTATTTGATATTTCCATTATTTGATACAGTCGTTAATAAAGAAATAGATGATTTTTCTTCAATCTGATGTGTGTTTCTTCAGGATCTGGGATATTTAACAATATTTTTGAGGCTTTCGACTTTCTACAATTTGTGTTTTGGGCATTTTTGAATCAGGAAAGAAAATAAGTAACAAGTTTGTAGTGCAATCTGTATATAACTAAGCGAATTATATGAATGCTGTTTCGAATATTGCAGTATTTACATTTCATAAATTATTGTTTTAAATTATGGTTAAATTTATTTGATAATCCCATATTTTTTAAATTATGGTTTTGCCCTGTTAAATGTTTTTTTTTATATCATGGAATTTTAATAGTAAAAAAAATATAAAAATTTTAAATTAGAACTTTTTTGGAGTGTAAAAATATTAATTTTTCATAAGCATTTTTTACAAAACATTACCATTTAAGTATCATATTAAAATACATTTTTGATTTAATTATAAATCTCAAGGTATGTTACTTTTCTCGGTGATAATACTATCCCCACTTTCCTATATAGACATTTTTAATAGAATTTACTAAAGTAATTTTAAAGGTTTAAAAACATCTTATAATTTATTATTTACCCATTTTATAATTTTTAAATTACTATAAAATATACATTGTATTACTCTATTTATTCTACTAAAGCTGATATTAGTTTCTTAGAGTAAAAAACTCATTTATCGTAATAAACACACGTCCAAAATACAAAAAGTAGATCGGCATAGGGGGCAAGGTGAATAACCAGAGAGCCAATTTTCTGGTGTTTTTTGGTTTTGACGGCTGGCAAACCATTTGGCCATACAGGAGATACACCACATAGGTCGACAATAGCACATTTTGCAATGGGTTCGTTCAGAGTTTTCCGCATCATTAGGAGTCTCTGGGCTCGTGTCAATACAATTTTTGTATAATTTAACTTGAGACGGTTTGATCAAACATCCCAAACAATTTTCGAGGGTCTGATAAAATATATTTTTAAATTTTTTGTTAGAATAGAATTAAAACTAAATATTCATTTTTAGGTTGGGTAATCGACCTTTAGGTCAAATGACCATATTTGAGGGGTCAGACAATTTGACTGATCAATGGCCATCATATAATTAAATTGATATATACAATAAAAAGTAAACCTATTGAATATTTTAAATTTAATAACTGTTCTAAAACACTTAAATTGGGATAGTCGTTTTAAACGGTCTTTCACCAATTTAAGATTAAACGATTTTAAATATTAAAAATTTGAGGCTATGTAATTAAATAGATATTAGATAAATATATTTGATTAACCTTATGGAATATGACAGACCCGATTCTAAACCTAAAGGAAGGGGGAAAGTTGGGGGGAGGGGGTAAAAAATTTTCGGTTGGGGGGGGGGAGTAAAAAATTTTCTACTACTCCCCCCCCCCCCAAATTCCTTTTAAATTGTTTTGGTTACTGAATATTTTTTATATTTTTATTTAAAAAAATTAAAAATAAGAATGTAATGGAAGAGAAATAACTGTTGTTCAAATCACTATCGGTTTAAAAAAACTATTCATTCTTGTCTGCTGAAATACCTAATAACGCCAATGGACCTCATAATGTAATGAGGAAAGAGATAATGTAAATGAAGTAAATTTGATGGAAGAAAAATGATTAAGATGCCAAGATTCTGAATAAGGAAAATGAGCCTGAACTTGCAAAAACAAAATGGATAAGTTTGATTTTTAGGTTACTTATTGCAAATATTTTACAACTGATTTAAATAAGGTTCCACCAAATAGGTTAACATCTAGTGGTGTTAAAAAACCTGATTTGGGTCGATTTTAAAAAATCTAATAAACGTTCTAGTAGTGATGAAAGAGTAACTTGGTTTTATTAGGACATGGAAAAAATATAACCAATAAATTTAGGAAATGTTTTCAAGGTATTTAAATATACATCTCAACCAAAATTATATTGTTAAGTTTTAAACTGCTCAATCATTGATATAATACCAATTGTAATATAGTTAGACATGTGCGCCGCCTGTGATTCTGACCACGCCGATGCCGCGCGCCAAAAAAGTGTCGGCGCTCAACACGCCGCCGCCGATAAAATTCAGCGGCGTGTTGGCGTGATACATATTTTTTATTATTAATTTATTTTATATGTTATTTATGAATTGTAATTAGAAGAAACATATAAAATATTTTTTGAATTATTAAAAAATGCGATTTTAATTAATAAATATTATTTGCTATAGATTTCCATATTCGCTCACTTTGGGCAGGTTTGTGACCAACTTGCTAGATAAAATAAGATTAGGACATTAAATTTGAAAAGATAATTCTATATTTTATTTTTTTAATTTTTGATGCTTCAAATAATTTACAACTCGTTATATAAAATTTATTCTTTATCATAATAGGAAATTTTAATTAATGATTTTTATTTTGTCAGGACTAAGACAATTATAATGGATGCAGCATTGCAATACCCTGTTCTTTTGCATGAAAACATTTAGGATCCTTAATATTAAAAACTGACACAAATAATAAGAACACCAGTGTTACTACAGATAAAGTCTTTTGTAATATATGCTTGTAAATAGCACTTAATAAAGATGGTGAGGATGAAAATAATTATTCATTTTCAGAGTAAATTTTTTGATTATTTTAAAAATATTTGTAAATTTTTTAATTAGTTATCCAATCAATTTTTCAAAAAATATCAGCACATCAAATATAATAAAACATTTACTTGACAAACATGATTTATCATGTAAAGAAGAAATACCTAAACAAAATTTAAGTTATTTTTCAAACCCATAAGATACACTGACCCTAAAATGGATTCTGGTAAAGAATTATGTTCTCATGTGTTGCAAAAATTTAATGCCATTCTCTTCTATAAATAATATTGGAATGCAAGATTTTCTAAGGTTATTTGTAAAATCATTATAATTTTTTATAAGGCAAGGGCAATCTTAATTTTTATTATAACTATTAATATATTTAATTATTTTATAACATCCCACATTAATATTTTTATTATTAACTTTTTATTATATGGAAATATAGCATTATTTCAGATACCAAAGAATTACCATATAGAACTACACTTAGCCGGAGTGGATTAGATGATGTGTATTTATCAATGAAAGCATACATATGCCAACATAATATAGGTCCTAAATTTTGTGCTATAACTTTTGATACTTGGACCTACAAATATAGACGGCGAAATTATATCACCTTTACATTTCACGAAATAGATAATAAATTTAATATTATATTTTATACATTGGCGACACATCATGTCACTCAAAAACATACCGCTGAAACTATTCTTTCCGACATATAAAAAGTTGAAAATGAATTTGATTTAGGGTCCAAGAAAATTCAAATGGTTACGGATGCAGGACCCAATATAAAGAAAAGTGTTCGTCTAGGAGAATATGACCATCATTTATGTTTGGGACATGGATTACATAATCTAGTGACAGTCGATGGAATAAAAAAAAGTTAATAAAATAGAAAATCTCATTAAAAAGTGAGAGAAGTTATAGTTGCCTTAAGATTCAAAACAGTGGATTTTGAGAATATAAACGATAGAAATATAAAATGTTTTGAATCGATATCATATATATCGGATATTTTAGATTTGGATAATGATTCTTTTTATGAAGATCGTTTGGGTTTTGTGATGATAGTGTAAATCAAAAATCATATGAGAAAAAACAAAAAACCTTAAAATTAAATGTGCCCGTTAGTTTAGTTGGTGCATGAACTTTTAAATTTTCTTAAAACCTCTAAAAAAACTGTTGAATTTTTATCTGTCCAAAAAGGAGTAACTATAAATTTAGCCTTATTATTTCGTAGTGAAATTAATATGATAGTCCTCCCGTAGCATCCCTTAAACAAAATATTGCTTACTATAATCATAGATTTCCAATAACCGATCTTCAGGTACTATCTTAAAATACAATTATTTTCATATATTATTTCTCTTTCTTTTATTAATTTACTTAGGTGTTAGGAGCACTTTTGGATCCTCGTTTTCAATCAATAAACATAGTAAATGAATATTTAAAGGAAAAAATATTACTCCGGTTGAATTTTTATGTCAACACGCTACCTCTCTACGGCCTTACACGGACGAATTAAACAAATGTGAAACGACGGAAGTTGCTTCAAAACTCGATTATCTTAAGTCATTGGCTATGAAACATTCATCTATTCAAAACAATAACCTGGAACAACAACACTATTTAACTAGTTTAGAAAAAAAGTGTTATTCATTATTTTCGCCTTATAATTTGGAGATAAAAGATGTCTTAGATTTTTGGAAGATAAGAGCATTGGATCTTCCTAAACTCAATATTAGGTAGAAAGGTCCTGTGCATTCCAGCTACGAGCACACCCAGCGAGTGTGTATTTTCTGGGCTCACTCTGAACTCTAAAAGATCATTATAATGTCCTTATATCTTAATAAAATAATATTTATTCATGATAATTATAACTTAATAAAATCATTAAATTATAGTTATAAACATAATAAAGTATAAATTTTATTTTAAAAGTGTTTCCAATGAATTTATAAATTTAATTTATTTAAGTTAAAAAAATATTTGACGCCGCCGCGCCGCCGCCGATTTTTGTGGCGGCGTCTAAATCGATTCGCCGCCGCCAGCCGATCATTTTAAAAAAAGAAACGCCGCCGCCGCCGAAAATGCTGTCGGCGCACATGTCTAAATATAGTTATAAATATTTTCTAAATTACATATATTTTATAATTGAATCCCTAACAAGTATTATACAAGCACAATTAAACTATATCAACTTTATTATATAATATTTATAAAATCATTAAATCAGTTTATTTTTTTCCAGCAATAAGTCAATTCTTATCTTCCATCTAATTTTATAAACATAATTGATTATTGTATATTTTTATATGTGGTATTTTTAAAATAAAATCGTATATTTCAATTTTGTGGTCAAATAACTAAATATTCGTTCTGTGATGTTAAAGAATAATTATCTAACTGCCCCCCTCCAAAAAAAATTAGGCACCCCTCCCCCTTCCTCCAATGAGTGAAGCTAGAAGGCCTGGAATATGATGTAAATAAAGTATGCAATAATAACACAAAAATGTATAGTTAGTAAATGGATGTTATGTAAAATAATAATTGAAAATGACATGTTATTTTATATGCCATTATGAATTAAAATGTCAGGATTATCTATTTATCGGATCGGGCATCGGGTCAACTACCTCTTACAACCCAACCCATACCTGAGCTCGGGTCGTCTAAAGACAACCTGTGCAGATCTCTAATATAAATATATCGAAAGGTCTATTAATTTCAGAATGTAAATCATGGTATGAAGGATTAATTTTAGTGGATAATCCAAGAAACGCAATGTACTTTATAATATATTTTGAGTTTTTCCTAAATATATTAAAATTACTGTATATTTTGGCAACAGTTCCAATTAGTACACGAACAAATAACGATCTTTTCTTCGGAGAATGAAAACCCAACTCAAAAGTATGACTTACTAACGATTAAATAGACTAGCTTAACTTAATATATATCGAGATTTAATCACTTTCAGAACAAATTATTAAAAAATTAACACAATCGCAAAGATTACATTTTCATTCATGAACAATATTTTGATTAACTTTTTAAACCATGTTTAATTCTATATTATACTACGATTTACATACCAGTTATAGTTATATTTTCAAACAATATATATTAGCTCTTAAATATTTTGTATTTTCTAATATTTTATTATTTGGGTTTGTAATTATCATTTTTAATATGCTTGGTTATAATAAATATTAAATTTATAAGTTCAAATAAAATTTAATGTTTCAAAAAAAATTATCCCCCCACCCCTCGTAAATAATTTATGACCAGCTTGGTTGTTAAATGGCTAGATTTAAGCTGATTTTTAAAAACGGCTAACTCAATTTACCAGAAAA